GTGGGTTTCTATTTTCTATACTTTTACACTTAGTTCTTCCTGGCCAATAGAGACCCTACAATTGCTTCACCTGATGCATATGGCAGAACCTTATTTGAAATGTACCATATTTTAAAGCCACACTTTGTCAAATTTCTCACTGGATGTAGGACTATGTTATTCACTCATTTCCCCCTTAATAGGTGTGCTGTATGTTTGAACTATAGATAACAACAGCCCAATAGCCAGAAGTTCTTAGAAATTGAATATTAAACGTTTGTACAGAAACTTCTTTGTAACATTATAAGCAAGAAATTGGTGTAAGGCACTTCTGTCCAAGTGGGCTGTCCAAACTACTTTGGCCTTCTTCTATACCAAGCTGACACGTTCTGCTAATTTCTTTCATCAAATTAGCATTACCAAATTCTGTGGCAGATAGGCAATGGAAAGAAAACATTTAAGGACTTAGACTTCATCTGATTTTTACAAATAAAGAGAAAAAATCCAGGGATGGTTAGTTCAGGGGACTAAATCATGCCACAGGAATATATCTTTAGGGTTTGGCTACTTTCTGCAAAACAAAACTCCAGTCTGCTTATTTTGCCAATATGTTCGAGGGAAATATGCCACAGAAGTTTTCTTTTTCTCCTACACAGAATATCTTTTTTCTTTCTGTTTATAGAAAGAACAGAAGCTTACTTTAAATCACGATTCTTCCTAAGATGTTCTGGATCTTTGATCTTACTTATTTTTCAGTTTGAACCTTTGGTATAGATAATTTGTGCTACATAATTGGATATGATTTGTTCTCACATTTTGCTTCTCTGTAGATTTGTTTAGGATTCCTTGTAAATAAAGCTCATCTCAAATAGCAGTAAACAATTCCTGGCCAGGTAGCTCAGTTGGTTAGAGTGCCATCTCAATACACCAAAAGATTTGGGGTTTAATCCCTGGTCAGGGCACATATAAGACTCAATCACTGATTGCATAACTAAGTGGAACAACAAATCGCTGTTTCTTTCTTCCTTCCTCTTTCCATTCCCCTCTCTCTCTCAAGTCAATTAAAAATATAAAAAGAAAAATCTATAAAAATAAAAAACAGCAGAAGACAACCCCAATGAGAAAATGAAATTATATCAAGAGTTCACACTAGCGCTTGGCTAGCTTGGTTCAGTGGTTGAGCCTTGACCTAAAAACCAGGAGGTCATGGTTCAATTCCTGGTCAGGACAAGTGTGGAGGGAAGGTGACACTTACTTTTGGAACTATGTTAATATTTCACATAGGAAAGAAAGTTATATATGTAATTAACAAGGATGAGGAGCCCTAAAATGGAATATGGACAGAAACAAATGAAGCAAACTGTATTTCAAATGAATAAAACAAACATACTGAAGGGAATTGGGGAGATTAAGTAAAAAAATTTTTTTAATCCTCATCCAAGGATATTTTTCCATTGCTTTTTAGAGAATGGAAGGGATGAAGGAAGGGGCAGAGAAAGTGGAAAACATCAATATGAGAGACACATAGATTGGTTGCCTCCTGCATGCGTCTCTACCAGAGCCAGCCAGAAATCAAACCTGGGACCTCAGTGAGCAGGCCAACACTAAACACTGAGCACACTGGCCAGGATGAGACTAAGTACCTTTTGAACACAGTGTTTGGACTATTTGCCCTCCCTTGGGCTAAAAACAAAAAGTGCTCTAAATAAGTGTTGAACTATCATTAGAAGGTTGCTTTTACACAGAGGCATGGACTAACAATGCTGTACATTTTAGGATTGAGCAAATAAGTAAATATAGTATGGATAATGGTAGCAGGATGTCTCTGTGAGAAGAAGTTTCATATGTAAAAGGGAAAGAATAGAGGGTACAATATATTGGAAATGAATCAATGTGAATTCATGGGTTTTAATATATGTAGATAGCTATCAATAGATACATAGAAATGAAAATAAATATGTGTGCGTTCATGCACATGTGCACATTTGTGTAGAATGTGCCTGTATAGACCTTCATCTGTTTCTTAACTGTCTTCTGAGAGAGCCTAGAAGCAATGACACATTTGGAGCACAAAGTACACCCAGCACCTACCTAGATCTTGGTTTTTCAACACTGTTTTTTACTAAAAGCGACTTGCGCATCTTGAATAAATGACTGGTTCCAAGATGGGTTAGAGAAAGAACAAGATGGGTCTGGAACATCTTATTTGTCAAAAAGAAAGCAAAGTAACTAAAGAATTGTGTAGACATGTCAAAAGGATAGAAGTTAGCTTGAAGGAGCTCCCACAGCCAAATCTGGGACAATTTGAGCAACAAAATAATGATAATAAAGGATCATAACCTACTGAATAAAGTAAGAATCCATGAATCCAGACTAATGTAAATAAATAAATAATGAATGGATGAGAAAGGTAAGCTCTTTTTTTACCATAGAAGGTCAAATTATAAATGTAGATGAAATGATGTAACAAGGAGGAAATAGCCATCTGGCAAACCCATCATAATTGTTATTGCTTCTAGCAAGAATTATTAGATACAAAATCAATAGATACTGAAACTAGTAAATGAAAGTCTGAAGAGTTGACAGTATATTTCCACAACCTCAAAATATTTCCCCAGAAGATACTTATTAAATACAACCGAATTGCTTACTCCACAGAACTTATAATCTAATAGGGGAAATAAGTAGAATACTTTAAAACAAAGCAGCAAATTAAGAGTTCCATCAGAGAGTTAAAAGTGAGATATGCTGGGAATTGAGCATGGAGATGGAATCATGAAAAGACTTTATGTCAAATATGACAGATGGTCTGGAAAGATTAGAGTTTTAACAGATGGAGATAGGAAAAAAGATACTTCAGATTGAAGAGAGCCAGTAAAGTTTTAAGCATTATTGCATTTTCTGCTCTTTCCTTAAAGCCATCTTATCTAAAAGAATTTTCATTGATCATCTATTCTTTAGGTAAAGTGATTATGATTCCCATACTGACCAGTTGCCATGCTACTCAAATATTTCTAATTATTTTTAATTTTAGTTAAATGTGAATTTTATCAATATGGATTACCTAAAGGCAGTAGTATAAATAAAATTGTAAATCTTTTCATATTCAGAATTATAAGCCCTTGCCCTATCAATTTGTTTTATAAAATTCTTATGTTATAATTTTGTGTAAATTTGTACCTATCTGTATAATGAAGCTTAGCCAGATTTTTTAATGCATAGATTACTCTTTAGTGTTTTTTAAAATATATATTCTTTAAAGTTACATTAAGGATATAATTTCATTATAATTAGTTCTTTTACAACCAAGATCATGATCTAAACACCAGCATTTTACCCTTGAGGGGTATGATGCACACTTTGGGACTAAGTCTTTGCTGGATAGCTTCATAAATTTAGTCTAGAATGTTATCATTTTAGACTTTATTTGCTAGAAATGTGGTCTAGTCCATTTATCTGTAACAGCTCATTTGCTTTCTTTTTCATTTTCCTTTGCTCAAGACAATAAATAGCACTGCCATAAACTATGTGGTTAGTTTAACACTTTCATTGCTTTTTAAACATCTCTCATCTAACCTAATTCTTTGCCGGGTATTGGCCTCATATTTTTTCATAGTGTCTTAGAATTAGATTTCTATGCTACTTTTCTAAGAGGGAAGAAGAGTGTGTAATTAACTTTTTTTGTATAGCACTGTTAATAGTAACAGGAAGAGGTTTATTTTATCCTATAACATACTATACTGTAAAGACAGGTTAGACACTTCCCTCTGAACTTGGTCAGGAAAAAGAAAAATGGAATGGATGGCTCCTGACATTTTTTCTTATTCAGTTCAGGGGTTCAGAATTTTTTTCTCTCGTTAGTCAACAAATGAAAAGTGGTATTTGGAATTACCATTGTCCCTCTATTAGTTGCCACCTTCATTTTAATGTCTGCTTCTCTATAACATTAACACATTTCCCATTCATGATTTACTTGTTAGGGAACTTAGGAGTTTTCTGGAACCTGAAGTCTGCCTTAGATAGTGTTGATGCCTGGATAATTGCCTATTCTTTGGTGGAATTTCAGTTTTAGATTACACCAGGCTCTACAGCCTTCACTTCTTTGGCAAAAGGACCCAAAGGCAATGGAGTGTATTTTTCCCCCTTCTCCAGCCCAGTTTAAACAATGACTCACTTGGGCTCTGGGGTTTTGCTTCACACTTTAATTCAGGGCCACTTTCTACCCTTGTTCTTCTTATTTGCTTTTAGTGTTCTATTTGGAACCTTTTATATCCTTTGGCACATGGATTTTCCTCTGAGGTTATTGTCAGAGAAGTATGCAACACCACCCCTAAACTGGAACAGACAAACTGGTTATGTCCCATAAGCTATGTTGTTCATATGGCAGCTGATAGAGGTCAGAGAGTACACAAAGAATTTCTTTAAGGAAACATAATTCCAAAAAAGGTAGGGAGAGGGGTATGCTTCAAAAAAATATGAGTGCCAATGTCAGCCAATTAAAGACTGAAAGATTTCCCTCTATATGAGATGCTTCAGTGACTGCTAAAATTTCCTCAGGGTGTGTATGTGGGAAGGGGGGAAGTGCCAGAGGAACTGGACCGAAACAGTTTTCAGAGGGATATGGTTATGTGTAGAGACTTCCTCCTAGAAGGACTTGGTCTAATTTATAGTTCAGTGTCTTTTTTAAAAAAAAAAAATATTTTATTTATTTTCCACAGAGAGAAAGAGAGAGGGATAGAGAGCTAGAAACATCAATGAGAGAGAAACATCGACCAGCTACCGGGGATGTGCCCGCAACCAATGTACATGCCCTTGACTGGAATCGAACCCAGGACCTTTCAGTCCGCAGACCGACGCTCTATCCACTGAGCCAAACCGGTTTCGGCTATAGTTCAGAGTCTTATTGGAGAGGAAAAAAAAATCCTTTTTTCCTTTTTCTGTCTGGTCTTGCTTTTTCATTCTGATTTCAGCCTTCCATAACCATCCATCTAATGACGAGTTCTTGATTGTTCTCTTTGCAGCTTTAACAGTGTATGTCAAGGAACTCATATTCTCTTTCGGGAATTCAGCTTTATCCAAGCCACCCCTCACAACAGGGCATCATTCCTACGGGCCTTCTGGAGATGCTTCCGAACTGTGGGCAAAAATGGCGGTAAGTCTTCCCAAATATTTTCTTGGCTTCTTTTCTTTCTACCAAACGTTTATCTTTCTTTGTTCCTATAAATACTGTTTGGGTACTAGCCAGTTTGGCTCAAAGGATAGCGCGTCAGCCTGAGAACTAAAGGATCCCGGGTTCGAATGGGATCAGGGCATATGCCCAGGTTGCAGGTTTGATCCCCAGTAGGGAGCGGATAGATCATTCTCTCTCATCATTGATGTTTCTATCTCTTCCTCTCCCATCCTCTGAAATCAATAAAAATATATTTTTAAAAAATATTGTTTGGCCTCATGCTATTCAAGGTTATAAGCACACCTTACTTTTGAGAAGCTGTTCCTCTTGTGTCAGAAATACTACCTCTATCACATCATTATCACTAATGACTGTATTAAGAGCCAAGTGAAGGTCTGCTCACTTGACATGAAGAGTAATTCACTTACTCTTCACAACATCTCTCTGTGGTGGATACTATAAACTCCATTTTAAAACTAATGAAACTGAGGATCAGAAAAGGTTAAGTAACTTGGCAAGGTTAAACAGTAAGTGCTAGGGCTGGATTCATACCCAGGCCATCTGGCACCAGAGCTTTTGCTCTTGACCAATATTAAAGAACCATGCAGTAGCCCTAGCCAATTTGGCTCAGTGGATAGAGTGTTGGCCCAAGGACTGAAGGGTCCTGGGTTCATTCCAGTCAAGGGCATGTACCTCGGTTTCAGGCTCAGTCGAAGCCTTGGTCAGGGTGGTATGGGAGGCAACCAATCGATGTGTCTCTATCACATTTGATGTTTCTTTCTGTGTCTCTCCCCCTCCCTTCCACTCTCTCTAAAAATCAGTGGGAAAATACCCTTGGGATTAACCACAACAAAACAATGCCATGAAGTAAATTCAAGGAATGATGTGACTGCAAAGAAATAAACTGGCTAGAGGGAGGGATGGGAATACTATTGTTAAAGAATGAAGAGAGAGTGGACTAGAGAAGGTTCTCCTGAAAACTGGCTGTTTGATCTAAATGGGAAGGAAGAGTGAATAGAAGTTATACCCTTGGATAAAGAGAGAGAGGCATTCTATAATACTAGTAGAATTCTGGTAGACTTACCATGTGCCTGGCACTGGGTGAGAGTAAGTGAACAGGTACACTCCCTGCTTCCATTGAGTATATAAGATCCCCCCATCTGCTCTAATAGATGCTACTGCTACTTTATACTTAGCTACTGAAATTTTTTTTCTAAAACTCCTCCTACTTAGTGTCTTATTAGACCATTTCTACTATCCTAAGAAATAAGTTAGATAGGTATTATTGTGCCCATTTTATAAACAATGAAGTTACGTAATTTGTATAATTGCACAGTGGATTAGTAGCAAAGTTAGATTTACTAATTTGCTAATGTGCTATTTCTACTATTTCTGCTACTCCAATCATATACGGCTTCTATGACATGCACCCTCTAGAGACTGTCCATCTCAATTACATTCTTGTGCAAACAATCTTAATGTGCTGAGAGTAACACCATCTCCTTTACAGAATCTATGTGCTAGTGGGCAGAAATCAATGTGACCCAATTTTAAGTGAACTACCTCAGAAAAACTAACCCGTTGGTCTGAAAATAAATAAAACTGGGAGCTGTGAATGTATAGGTGGAGTTTGTACTATTTCAACAGAACCTCTTTCCCAATCCTTCCCAGTCCCTTAATCAGTTAGCAAATATGTATTAAATACTTTCTATATTGAAGAATGGTGCATATATAGTCAGCTGGTTTCTGTGAAATAGCACATGGAGATAACTATGGAAAAGTCTTTAAGTGTCCTCCAATTCTCTTCCTGCTTTAGAAGTGGGGCCTCTTCAAGAATTTGTTTACTATCACAAGGGATCCATATAGCATGTGGACTCTACGCAGATGTGGGTTTCTTTATCTTTCTTATAGCAGCTGCCATTGATTCATCCAGCTGTTGAGAGAGAGCACCTCCAAGTTCTCCTCTGTGCCATAAACATGACCTAGATTTTATGCTGGATATTTCTTGCTATGCTTCTTAATCAGACAGTTTCTGATTTCTTAAAGACTAAATGCAACATTTGTGTCTAGGTGATACTAAATTATTTGGTTAAATAGCTTTAATATATTCTCAGTTACTCCCAGGAAGCTTTAGAATATTTTTTCTGTTCCAAAATGTGTCATTCCCCAATTTTAATCCAAAATGAGCAAAAACATTCAGAGGCAGGGTTCCAAAAGTAAGTATTAAGCCCCATTTTTTCAAGTAGAATGCCAAGTACCAGACTCCTTTTCAGTGGAATCTCTACTATATCATTCTCCTGCAGACAACTTCCTTATAACATCATGTACATATTATAGCATTATCAAGAGGAAATAACTCTTCTGGGAGGTAGCAAAGAAGAGCAGAGTTCCAGCAAATTCTATCTAAAACTGAAGTCACTTTGAGAAAAATAAGGACCTGATCCCTTCTGAAATGATTTACCCAAGTTTTGAGCAAGTACAGGGATGCAATGTCATTTCTGCATATCTGAATAGTGAATAATGCTAATTTTCCTATGTCTGAATTTCAAATAACCTCATGAAGACTATAGAGAATCTCTTGCTATTAGGCAACTTTAAACTCTTGGAAGCAAAAATGTCTATTCAGCCCTAGCTGGTTTTGCTCAGTGGTTAGAGTGTTGACCTGAGGATAGAAGGATTGCTGTTCGATTCTGGTCAAAGGCATGTACCTCTGTTTCAGGCTCTATCCCGGCCCCTGGTTGGGGTGTGTGTGAGAGGCAACCAATCAATGTGTCTCTCTCACATTTATGTTTCTCCCTCTCCCTTCACTCTTTTTTTTTTTTTTTTTTAATCAATGGGGGAAAAATATCCTTGGGTAAAGATTAAAAAGAAAAAAAGTCTATTCAAACAACTTTAAAATTCAACTTCTTGCTTTGCGATTTCTTTCAATGTAGAAATGTTAATCTGGATTTTTCAAATCTAGCAAATATTGAAATTTCCTTGTTGAAGTAAATCTCCACTTCTGTTTAGGAATATTGGTTCAAAAGTTTTTGTCCATATTTATTTTCATAGTTTATTAGAATTTTATTTTGAATTTTGTGTTTTTACCAATGAATGCATATATTTCATTGAATAAAATGATGATAGGTACCTCCTCTTTGGCCCATGAAGAAGTACCTACTAAGGGAGTTATCCGCCTGCCATAAACAACTAGAAATCAGACAATGTCCAATGTCTGAAACAGGACTGTGGTCTCTGAGAGGCAGTTGCCAAGTGATGGTACAGGAAGGAAGATGATCATGTTGAGGAGTTGAGTTGAGGAGACAGAGATTGGGGTTTAGAGAAACCAAGGTGGCCAAAATTTGCAGGACAGAGTACCAGAGAGGAGGGAATAAGTAACTCAGTCAGTTCTGGAGAGCTTCAAGCAGATATTTGAGTCTTTGGCTCTAAATTCTGCACATGTGTGGGTTGGAAAAAGAACCACCAGAAAACAGTTCCTGAAGTATACACCGGATAAGGGGTAGTTCACATTTCTGCCAGCCAGAGTTGAGAAACCTCAAAATACATAGGATATTGGCTTTGGATAGAATCCTCATCAGCTTACAAGCAAAAATATTCAATTTATAGGCATGTCATTTAACTATATACCTAAACAAAATTAATACTCCTTAAAGGAATTCAGTAAAGGAATTCAATAGAAACACAGACCCAGAAATGAGAGATTATAGAATTAGCTAACAAGAACCTTTTGAACAGTTATTTTAAATCATATAAATATGATCAAATATGTAAAGGAAAACATGAATCTATTAGAAAGGTATAAATTGAATTTCTAAACATAAAAAAGACTATCAGAAATGAAATAATGGTAATAATAGCAATTAACATTTATTAAGTACCCCCTATATAGATTATCTCATTTTTCTTCACAGCAATTCTATGTGGTAGGTAGATACTTTTAATATAGTTGTTGTATAGAAAATGAAACTGAGATTTAGAAATTTAGTAACTTGTTCTAGGTCCCACGCCTAATAAGTGAAAAAAGCTAGTGTGGAAGAAGCCAGAAAGCTGACTAAAAGAGAGTATTACTTTTTAAATGTGTAATCCATCAGATAGTATACGAAATGCTTGAAATATGAATGAGTAAATGGCAATACTTGCCTTCAAGGAGCTCACATTCCAGAAGAAGAAACGGATCGTCTAGAAATAGTTTCCATAGAGTGTAAGCGATTATTAGAGCCATGTGTAGGATATAGTGACAGTACAGGGAGGAAGTAGTTTTTCCTGCAGAAGCTGGGGAAGGCTATAAAGGAGTGAAGGCAGTTGGAATGGATTTTGAAGTAGTAAAAGCTATTAAGCAAATAAAAAATACATTCTAAAAAAGAAAAAGCAAGAGTTTTAAAAGTATTATGACATAAAACAACATAGTTCCTTTGGGAAACACTAATAGGTTCATTTTGGCTAGCGCTTAACACGTAAGAAGGAAGTTAGTAGAACCTTAGGAATTTGTGTGGTATTCTCGCATATGACACTGGCAAAAGTATGGAAAGTAAGTAGTAAGACTGAGGACAAAAACCAGTTAGGAGCCAGTTACAGTAGAACAGTAAGTGGCATGGAGATGCAGAGCTATTTAAGGAGCTGGTTTGACAGGACTTGCCAAATTGACAGGGGGTGAGGTGTGGGAGAAGAATCAGGAATAAGTGACAGAATCTAAAGTATTGCTACTTTCATCCCTCTCTCTTTTCCTTTCCTTTTTTTTTTTCTCTTTCACTTTTTGTTTTACTCTGAATTCACTATGGTTTTGTCTTCATAGTATTGGTATGTTCATTCATTCAACAAAATTTATGCATCAGTTGCTAGTGATGAAGGAGTGAGTTGGACAGAAATTCCTGCTCTCATGGAGTTGTAGTCTAATAATCTGAGATTTGGGGGGGAAAAAAATTCCTGTCTTTTTCAGAGAAGCTCACATTCTAGGAACCAGGAAATTGCAGTGGGTCTGAATG